TTTAAGTTTTGTAATTAAAGATAGAAGTTGTAGGGCTTATTAGTAAGGAGTTTAGAAGGGCTTTGGTGTCAAAGATATAATATTTTGACTCTTAGGCCATCCCATGTAGATAGATAAGATGAATGCATGAGGGCTTCATTTCCATTGGTTGAAGGCTATATTCAATAGCCTTTGAGATGTTGTCTAGGACCACATTAAGATTTGAGGCCACTTTATGGAGGACCATTCAAGCCAAGGCAAGAGATTCAAAGTTTAGAGGTTGAATCTAAAAAGCTTGTATTTTGAAGTAGAAATTCGATATAAAAAATAAGTGATTTGGGTTTTAGAGCAAGGATATATGGTTGTTTGAAGTTAGGGTGTGAATATTGTACATATTGTTATTCTTTTAAGCATATAGAGAGTTGTAGAAAGGCATTCAGTAATCAAATCATAATATTAGAAAGATAACTTAAGGAACTACATTTGATGCAAAGGAATTGATAAATTCTGATTTGGAACAAAGGAGAGAAAATTGTTGGATGTTAGTTCATCAAAACTAGAGTTTGTAAGTGAACTCTTTTCATGGAGGTTTTAGTTTTGGCCGTATCTTGAGTTTTTGGACGAAATTTTTGCTCAAACTTTCTATAAGTATAGATGATTATGTTAAAAAGTTTTATAAAAAATTCATTGTATTTGAATGTTGGATTTTTGAGATATGGTAGATATAGTGCAAGGTGCCTAGAAATTGATACTTTTAGCACCTACTAGAAATTAGGCAATATCTAAAGACCTATAATAAATTTATGGTTGATTTTTTGTGTGGAGGTAGTCAAGGATATAATTTAACATATAGAGAAGTTTGAGTCCAATTGAATAGTTAAATTAGGATTTATTGGATAATATAAATTTAGAAAAAATCTCCATAATAGTATAAATGGTTTTAGAATATCTTGAGAACTCTTGTGCATCCTAGACTTTATATTTGATGTAAACAACTTCATGATGATAACCTATAAATAAAATTTGTGTTTTATAAACTTGCAACTTGTTTGAGCGATTAGTGGTAGCGAAAGGCTTGGTGCTTCTTGAGGCAAATTCTCTCTACTATGACATATTTGTTATTTAATAATTGTATGATGTATTTTACATATAATTGAATACATGGGTAGAAATTTCATGCTACTTATTTAGAATGCAAGTTTGTGATGTTTTTAAATTTCAAATTTTGCATTCAATACCCTACACATCTAAAGGTGTTATTTGACATATGAATAAGTCAATATAGAAACGTTTTGAGCATTCTTCAAAATGATTGTATATACATATTATGATTGTTATTTATAAATACAATTATTGTTAGTTTAGATATTTTTGGGTCCTATTAAACTTACGTTTCTTCCTTCCAACAAGTTTCATAATCCCAAGTCTACTTTTATAAGTCATACTACCACAAACATTAAAAATAAAATATAAATAAATACAATAATTCATGTTATGTGAAATAGTTTCAAAACTGGAATTGTGGGAATAACACAACGTTCATTGCACATTAAAAGTGAAAACTCTGACATTAGAATGTTATAATGCTCACTCATTGACTCCAAATAATAATAAAAAGGAATAACTAGAGCAGGATTATTGGGTGCAAGATTGTTTCCATAGACAATTCAACGACCAATGAGTATTCGCTGCAAATCATTGGTTCCCTTATTGAGGAATAATTTATTAAGGAAAAGGGCCGCCAGTACCATTCCATGGATGACTTGTTTTCATGGATGATAAACCATCGTCCGATGTGGACTATCAGAACTGGCCCTTCTGATAGTCCAGTCAGCCATTTTTTTTTATAATGTAGACTGTTGCTCGTTTTACGCATTCGTGTTAGGGCACATGTTTCCTTCTTTTTAAAACTCATTAATCCTGTTTATGGGTCTTTCCAAGTTTACTTTTTGATGGATTCCGACTTCGTTTGATTGACTGTTGATTTCAGAAGCACATGACTGATGTATTAATCAGGTTTAACTTCTGTTTGGAATTTGCATATAAAAGACATTAGGACAAGGTGGGTTGATTTGTATTCTGGAAATCTATTAAATTTGGAAGAGTGGATTTGATGTGGATTGAACAAAATTTGTGCTTAGCGTGGATGCTCAAAATCCAATCTCGTTGAGATTATAAACAAAGTCTGTTGTTTGTCGGTGGTTCTATGTGATATAATGCATGGAATATTATTTTATTTCTGTTTCTGAGTTTTTGTCAAGTTTAGTTCACATGATATCACAAAAAAATCTCTGATGATAAGATTTTAGGTCTTGAACTGTGATTTACCATTTGTTGCAGATATGATTTTTGTTGGAATACTTTCAAAAACGTTGTTCTAATGAAGAACATGCTCAGTGATGAATTATGTTACGATTTATCATTATCTTCATTTCTTACGTTTTCAATATTTGGTATTTTATGCCATATTGTGTGAATTTTTATTTACATTGTTTGTGCTTCAGGGAACATTTTGTTACCTGGTGTGCTGTGAATTGGATTGACAGAATGTTGTTTGTTTGTGTGTTACACTTCCAAGTGTATGTGAATATATATATATATATATATATATTAACACACACACTTACACAAAATAATGTATGTATTTTATTTGAACAATGTTCCAGTGCTCATGTGATGTGAAAATAGTTTGAATGTGAATAAAAATAAAATGAAACAAATCTATGATTTAATGTAAAAAGAAGTATATCATTCACCATATAAAGCTTTCAACTTCAGCTGTCTCAAGTCTCTAAGGATACAGACATCTAAATAGTAGATGCTTTAAAACAAAATGATTGGAATCTTCATTACAAAATGGAGGAACATATTTTCGACCCATTTTGAATGTTCTCGGCAGCTATGAACCCAAATATTACAAAGACACGTACTGATAAGTATAGTATTAAAAATTGTTTGATTAGCTAAGAAATTAGGTGGTATCAGCTGAATCTAATTCTGGGGCTCCAATCTGCAAAGTGCCACGTTCTGCATTTTATTTACACCTCTTTATGAGAACATTACATTGAACTTATAGTTCCGAAATCAATCAAGTCTTCATAAATGGATTAGCCCTTGCGTTAGCAAGAAGTCAAGTTTTATGTGAAAGTGAAACATTCTTAAGAATTAAGTAACATCCTCTTGATTGTGATCGATTGAACATTGATTCTGTACTTAAGCAAGTACCTGACTTAAAGTCCTATGTAAGTGGCGTAATGGGAGATAGATATAAATCCATCATGCAAATATGATTCAAGTTCAATCTAACCCCCAAGTACATCTTACGCCATTAATCATGTAAAGCAAGGAAATTACTTCATTATTGTCAAAGGCTTTGTCACTCGATTGTATTAAAATGTGGGTGTTTATTAGTCCATTTTATTTGAGCCATCTAATGACCCTTTTACTTTTTTTCCATTGTATATAACATTGATGCTTGTAGACATCATTCATTATTTTTTAAGTTAGGTTTGATTTTTCAGTTTTGGTTCTTATTTTTGTGTGAAGAAATTTGACTTCTGTCATACAGTGAATTTCTCAATTTGCGTATTAAATAATCAAAACCCACTTGCTTCAAACCTAGTATTTTTTGTTTTCAATTTCAACATTGAATTTGTTTTTCAGTAAGTCGAGGAAACTTTACACTAAGAAGACCACTTTAAAACAATTGTGAGAAGTATTATTATTATTTTTTAAAATTTCTTACTCTCTATTTTAAATGTGTTTAATTTTACAAGACTTTTCATTTTTTTTTTTTCCTCCAGAAGCCATCTCTTCAACACATGCCAAATGCAAAATCCAAAAGACAACACTATTTATACCAAGTAGGATAAAAGAACACACCACCTCATTTGTTTTCCCACTAGAGACTTTTAGACTTATTTTTTTCAAAGCTCAACACCAACTTAAAAATTCTTCTAGATTTTACCCAATCCAAACATTTAAAAATTAAAACCTCTCACCTTGAGCCTCTTAGTATGAACTGCCCCTTCATGATTTGTTTTTCCCAACCACCTGCACCCCAATTTACTCCTACCATCAAAGATTGTCAATGTTGAAGTTGGGTATGAAAGCATTGAATTTCATCATCATGCCTCGGATTAGGCGCATAGTCATGCCTGTGTTCAATGGACCATTTATGTTGATATTTAAGTCTATTATAAGTTGTACTTCTAAATCATTTCTCCACCCTATCTCACTAGTTACAAAATATATTTCTATACACAATTGGTGGCATGAAGTACTTTAAGTTGCCACCCTGGCATCTGGCTCACATTTAATGAATTTATTTATTTTGTTTGATCATTCAGATTTTATTACCTCCTGAACTCCGATAGTATGGCCAGCAGCTAAAAAACAAGCGGGGTATCACAACGCTTAACAAGCTCTACCCTTTTGGGCTTCGCTAATAAATACCACACAGAATAATCATCCACACGTCATACAACGACAGGCTGATTAACTGCACCCCTTGAAGAAAACCCCTCAACGCAAGTAGAACCTTATCCGAATACCAGGGTATCAATCGAGGAAGGGAACAGAGGGCGGCATGTGGAACGCAACGAGGGAGGGGGCGAGGTGCGAGAAAGAGGGCAGTGGGAGCGTCGAGAACGCCGAGAGCGAAGGGAACGGGGGGGGGTAGGGCAACAGCGTGGAATCCCCGGTTACCCTCGCCCCTACCTCCCCATTATTACACCCTAAACCCGTGGACCCCGCCAAGGCTTTACCGCGGCAAAGAGGGAAGGGATTTGAATGGGGCGGGGCTGAGGAGGCGTCGGGGGCACATGGACAAGGAAGGGAGATGACGACGAGGCTGATCCTGATTTTATTTAGTATGCCCACGTCGTCGTCGCGCTTCAAGCTTCCGTCCGCGCCTCGATCTGGAGCGTGTTTGTCACGAACGATTGCCGTATTCCCTGGTGGAGCCTAGACCCCGCCGTGCTTTCTTTCAAGTTTTTTTTTTTTTTTTTTTTTTTTTTTTTTTTAATATTTTAAATATCTGGTATATATATATAGTAGGTGTGTGTGTATGTGTGTGTGTGTATGATTATATTCGCAGTGGCTTGGGCTTCAATCTGTGAAGAGGTATTTGTGGATGTGTTACTTGCCGACGAAGGCTTTCAGCGAGCAGAAGAAGAGCTATTAAGGCGGTTGTAATTCCTGCGTGTTTGAAAGCTAATTGGTATAAGGGAGGGAGTGTGTGAGTCCACCGTCAGTTAGTTTGTTTGTTTGTGACGTGGAGACGGGCTATTGCGGAACGTGAAGGGGGATGCGGATGCGCAGGTGAGGGTCGTGTGCTAAGCACAAACTATAACAGGAGTGTGATTGAAAAAAATAACTACAGCACGAGTTGGGATAGAGTTTTGGAAGGAAGGGGAGAGGTGTGGTGAGAAAGGCAACCGCGACCGGAGGATGGAGTGGGCGTGTGCGGGGGGAAGGTTTGAGTGATGGTTGTTTGTGTTGCGGTGCGTATCTGGTTGGTCGTGTAGGACTGGTAGTTAGGTTGTACTTTAGAAACGTGCATTGATCACTTCGTTTGGAAGCAGTTGTGTAGCACTTGACCCTTTGTTTAAGGGTATGAATGTCGTTTTATTTGAGTACTGCAGTGAATTTCTAAAACATCTAATAACATCGCAGGTGTGACATTTTAAGCATTCTTCAACGGGCTAAGAGTTGAACTTTGTACCTGTAGGAGATAGCGAATTGGTAGCACTTGCAGCGGTTTTGATATGACTCGAAGATGTGGAAATTGTGAGGTTGTGGGCTTGACTGTCCTGTTAGCTGAACGTGTGCATCAAGATCAATAAAATTACAAATTATGTTTCCTGTTCACATGTGGAAGTGCACCTGGGACTAGTTGCCTAAACGCGGTCGCTTGAGGAGTGGGGTGGTGTCTTTCAGGGGTGTAGATGTTTTGAGTGTAGGTAGATAGATGAAAACTGCAAGTGTTCTTTGTAATTGCCAGCTCACACATTTTAATCGGAAATTGCAAGGTGTGCACTGGTGTGCGAGGGTCAATGAGTAACGTTTTGTTTTCTTAACTACTGTAATAACTTTCCTACCCTCTGTCTGTTGTATCTGATAACTGCAGGCTCGAAAATCCTCAAGTCTAATTCCAATGAGCATGAGAAGCAATCTAGAACTCGGATCATAGTTAAGCAATATTTCGGAGCTGACTTTGCAGTACCCCGCGTCCAGTTGAAACTATGACTGCGGTCCTTCATTCCCAAAGAAGCACTCGACATTTTTCGAGCGACAGTGACGAGTACAACTCCACTTTACAGTATTTATCGGACTCAGATACGGAGGGATGCAGTGGCAACCACGCTTCTCCTCTCGTTTGCAATAACGATGGTAGCCTAAAGATAGACTCAAAACTCTCAAGTAGCACATCTTCTCATAAGCACAGGAGCTCGAGAGTGCATGAAGCAGGAGCGCAGTTGTCCATGGTAGCGTTAGTGTTAGCCACAGTTCGAAAATCGCTTCTTACCTGCCAGACTCCGGAAGGAGTGGAAATAATGGAAGGAGAGAAGGTGAAAGCCACAGACAAGGCTAACGAGAAAGAGAAAGGAAAAGGGAAGGAAACCAAGATGAGCTTGGATATTGGATGGCCGACGAATGTTGAGCATGTTGCGCACGTCACTTTTGATCGCTACAACGGGTTTCTCGGCTTGCCCGAGGAATATGAGCATGAAGTACCCAGACCAACTCCCAGTGCAAGGTATTCTTTTTCACCAGGTTTTGACTTTCATGCTTGCCACATTTGTGGTGTGAGCTAATTGTGTAGATTCCTTTTATGCACTGTATTCTTGTTCAGTTTTTTTGGCTTATAACAACGAGGAGCGTTTAGTGTCATTAATTTAAGCAGTCTGTTTCATTTTTCGTTTTCATCGCTTTCATGATTATAAGTGAGTTTCCGCTCTGGCATCATGTAAAGCTCTGTACATAATCATATCAAAAGACATCTGCAAATGAAATATCACACAGGGTTCTGGATTGATATTGGTGTGGTTCATGATATGCTCACCACCCGGACTTTTCTTTTGTGCAGCAAGAACGTGTTTGGAGTCTCGGTGGAGTCCATGCAGTGTTCATTTGATTCTCATGGCAATATGGTTCCAACCATTCTTTTGCTTTTGCAGAAACAGCTCTACGACCAACGAGGGCTAAAGGCATGTCTTTATTTAAAATCTTGGCTTAAGACATGTCTGTTTTTTTTGGACTTTTTAAAAGTCGTTCAGTTCATTTTATTTGAGTAGGCATCTGCCACATGTTTTTAGCACGCGCTATCATCTAAAAGTGTCTATTTGAATAACAAGGTTCAGGTTATTATGTCAATCTAACTGGAAGTGTTACCGTTCAGGCTGAGGGTATTTTCAGGATAAATCCTGAACTCAGTCACGAGGAGCATGTGCGGGAGGAACTCAACAAGGGGATTGTACCTGCCGACATTGATATTCATGCCTTAGCTGGGTTGATCAAGGTCAGCAAATCTCATGACATGAGTCTGGAATATATCCGCACGATTTTTAGTCGTTGTTTGGCAAGTGAGTTTTTGTTATAATTCGTTGCCTTTCGTTATAGTAGAAGATGGTTTATATATATATATATATATATATATATATAAACCAGGTTTTGCAGTACGGTTCTTTCTGCAAAGCCGGAGTGAAAGACAGTTTTTTGTTTCCACGTTTGTCATTCAAAGTAGCTCATAATATAGTGGTTTTTGAATGCAGGCATGGTTTAGAGAGCTTCCAAGAGGCGTTCTAGATTCGTTGAGTTCAGAGCAGGTCCTTGCTTGTCACGGTGAGAAGGACAGCTTGGCTCTTATCAAGCAATTGCCGCAAACAGAAACTGCTCTACTGAACTGGGCCATCAACCTCATGGCGGATGTGGTGGAGCTGGAGTCTTACAACAAGATGAATGCTCGCAACATTGCTATGGTTTTTGCTCCGAACATGACACAGGTATAGAGCACCTCTTCGGTGGTCTCTTTCTTTTGAAACTAGTTTAGAGCTAAAACTGTGTAGCGTGTTGTCTCCCGTGTTTTCTCATGATCTTTGCACATTATTTCAGCCTCGAAGGTCGTTTGTTGTTAGTTGGTGTTCGATCTGTTGACGAAGGTCATCTCTTTGATAATTTGAGTTTCTTGCCCTGCAGATGGTTGATCCGCTAACGGCTCTGATGCATGCCGTTCAAGTGATGAACTTGTTGAAAACTTTGATTCTACGCACATTGAAGGACCGGAAGGCTACTTTGCTGGAATCCCAATCACCTCCCTTGTCACCAAAAGTTCCCGAGTTAGAAGAGCCTGAACCTGACCCCCAAGGTGCGCTGTGGGTTAATGATTCCAACGATGATGTCTATGGGGGCAGCGTATTCAACCGCCATGATAGGCAGTGGTCCCAAACCTCTCAAAATTCGTGCGCGGGGCTCCTCCGAGGTCATGACCGGACTAGCTCTCAAAGCTCACAAAGTGGCCTGTGGATGGATCATGAACGAGGCAGCTCACGATATTCTCTGCCGTTCCTGAGTTCTCACAATCGTCAACCAAGTTCTATTTTTGGGGGCCCTCTTAAATCGAACCCTTTCCTTATGAGCCCCAGTCATCTCAATCGTGAGCCGGCTAGCCCACAGAACACGTTACTTAATTCCTTTGAGCACACGAGTCAGGACTCGGAAGGAAACTTTAGCCCCTTCATGCTCTTTCCCCCAACACACAGCACGAAAGGCAAGGGTGCTAGTGGTCGTATGACTCCTTCCATTGACCAACGACCTGAACGTGTGGAAGCCTGGTGATAAGCTGCACAATTCCCACCTTTGTCATTCTTGATTTAGATTTTTGGCATTCCTTTTTTGGGGTGTAAAAAGCACCATGACGAAGAAGGTGTACGTGGTTGTGTGCGTGCCCAAGTACTGACAGCAAAGTGTGAACCCTCAACATTCAGATCCCCTCTGAAAGCCTTGCTTGGTTTGACTGAAGTCCTTCGAAACGAAGTTGGTATGTGCCCCATGGCTGGACGTCATCTCATTGGGAAGCGTAGGTGGAAGGAAAAGTTTGCTTTTTCGTGCTGAAATCAACATTGCATTGCTGAAGGTGGCAACCAAGGCCACTGGAGTGGCCTGATTGAAGCAGAGATGGGGCTCCTGGAGATAAGGAGGTCGAGGGGCAGGACACTTGTAAAATAGTTCAGGAATGTTTAGTTCTGATACGTGTTGAGTAACAGCGTTCAACACGGGACTGACTTTGCCCAAGTAGCAAAAAACTAACCCATTCTTTGATTGAAGCCCATGTGCTGTGGGAGGCTTCATCACAAACAAATCGCGTAGGGATGTGAATATACCAGGTTAATTTAGTTTCAGGTTTCTGTCTTTTGTTTTGTCTCTTGATAACAAAACGTCTGTCACTCAAACTGGCAGATGGTTCTCGTATCTAGCACTTGTCTTGAACAAGTGACTTTCTTTGTGTACATTGTACATTTGATGTATCTTCCAATATTGATAACAAGGAGCCGCAACCAGCGTTCTCTAGTTTGTCTTTGATCTCCAACCGCTTTACGCTTTCACGTAATAATCTTATCAACTTCAGATTTCTTTTCTCACAGTTAAGTAGTTTAAAATCTCCACACACATATCATTACCATCACACAGTGACATACTGGGCGGTTGACGAACTAACTCGCACTAACTATGCGGAGACCTGCTGGTTTGGAAGGCCCTCATTTCGATTGTTGTTACTGTCATCCGAAGGTAACTAAAGGACAACTGCGCCAAAGAATTTACTACAAGAATAATTAGTTGTGTAACAAATTTGTACCTTTGGGTTTTTTTTTTTTTTTTTTTTTTTTTTTTAACGCTTTTTCACTACCATCATTTTTAAAGGTGGAAGTGTAATTGTTTTGTGGTTAACTTCTTAATCTTCACTTTTTCACACTGGCTTTGCTAATTAATTTGTTTTATAGACATTCACAGCATTTATTTGAAACTCAATTTTTCTACTTTATTCTCAGAAAAAGTGTGAAGAAGTTTCATGTAATTAGATTCTATACTAGGACAGATTTAAATATGAGCAACTTGAACCTAATTTAAAGTAACATCATTACAAAAACCAAATTTAATATATAAAATACCTTTAATTACAGCATATACAGCTTCATTGGCACTTCATATTAGTCACTTAATTATTCTATCTATTTTTTTATATAAAAAAGAAAAAAACAACAAAAAAAGAAAATCATATCACCTAAGTATGTCGAGTTAACAATATTTAAAATTACAAAATTTATTCTCCTAAGAAATGTATATTTATAAATATTAGTTATTAGCCATATCTTTAAGAATTATACACACACACACACACACACACACACATATATATATATATATATATATATATTCAAATTAAAAATACTCTTAAATTAATATTCATTTCAACCATGGTTAATAATATCACTTAAATGAATGGACTTTTATTTTTTTCAATTTATCACTTTGCAAAATAAGGAATAACCCAAGTTAAATTACAAAATGTTATGGACAGATGTGTGACTGAATTCTTCTCCAAACAAAAGAATTCAAGCTTCAATCAACACAGAAGAAAACAGATGATATTTTATTTTATTTTTTAAATATATGATGCAAAAAAAAAAAAAACAAAACTTTTTTTTTTTTTTTTTTTTTTTTTAATTTTTTTTTAATAGACACATCTTATAAATGAATTTAGAGATAAGTCATACAATTTAAATAAAAAAAATTAGGTTCATTTAAAATTTGTTTGTTTTAATGAATGATTTTAGTGCTTAAATAGCTTTAACATGTCAATAACCAATTCGATACCTTATATTATAAGTATGAGTTTAATATGGTATCATAATATAATATGAGTATATAATATAAACATAAAATAAATTATCTACCTTCATTTGTTTGCATTTAATTATTTTGACTATTTAAAAAAATGAACAAGTATGCAACAACAATTAAACAATACATGGTAAAAGTAAATGAACTTTCTATTTTGATAAAATGCAAGAAACTACTTTCAATGTCTCATATAAATTTGAGAAAGATATCAACTTTAATCTGTCTTAACTTCTAATTTATACAAGAATATGTATAAAAAGTCTAAAGCCACATTTGATCCAATATTACAATAATGTTTTTAGTAAGTCTTGTTCAAGCTTAGTTTAATCTTAAACAATGATTCCATGAATAAAGATGTTGTATAAGATTATATACATCTATAAGCACATTCTTATATATATATATATATATATGCTCACACAAATATTTGAGAGGTATATATAAATAGCTATAAAATATAAAATATTAGCATTAATCTAAAACAAAAAAATATTATTATTTTTTCTATTGATAAAATAATATTACAAAGTACAAATATATCTCTAATTTTTATTATTAATATTATTATTTAAAATCTAATACGAGCATGGCAAAGATTTTCTTATTTAATATGACATTTTTCTTTATGTATGTATGTATTTATCTATACAAACTTATTGCAAAAGGTTTTAAATTTTTTTATGATTTTATTTTAGATTATTGAATTGTTTACGTTCTGATAATACTACTCAATTTCTTTCCAAATCTTTAAATACCATTGTAATATATTGTACTAAGAATATAAACAAAGAAAGATTATAATAAAAAAAAATAAAAAATCATAAAATATTTAGATTATTTTTTTAATTACTTATGCCAAATTATTTGAATACATTTTTTTTAGAATAAAGATGTTTTATCTTATTTTTTAAAAAAATATTTAGAAGATATAATTAATTATGTTTTAGAAAAACTTAAATTCTATTTATTTTATTTTGATAAAGTATGTTTTATCTCTAATAATTGGTCTTAAAAATTTGTTATGATAATTTTTAAAATTTTGTGTCCAAGCCAAATATGTAACCAGTTATATATATATATACACATATTTCTAAATTACCATCTAAAATAATAGTTGGTTGTAATCTTTTGTGTTTAAATTGTATATATTAAATTAATATTGAATAATAATTAATTTTTTTTTTAAGTTAATAAGTAATTTTTAAATTTTTGATAGATATTGCATATTTGATAAAGCCAAAGAATTTGAAATACACAAATAATTGTCTTATATATATATATATATATAGGTGCATATTATTTTATATTTTCATATAGATATATCTTTTCATATAAATTTAAAAATTTACATATGTTATATAAGACAAATTTGATATAATACAAAAAAACAAAGAAACCTTCTAATTGGATTTGGCAAAGAAAACTTGAAAACTTTAAAAATACAAGAGCAATAGAACTTGAGGAACTTGGAAAATATAAGAACAATGGAAATTGGGAAAGGAAGGTGGTTGGAAAGTTAGGGATCTTTAAGAACGGAATTGTTAAAATCTTTAGAATTTCGAATAATTACTTTTTATCACAAGTTTTAAAACTATCTTTGCATGGGAGGAGATATCTTATACCTTGCAAATACATTGAATTTATTTGTAAAATATTTTTATAATTTGATGTTATCTACAATCCAATGATTTTCAATCTTATAGTTTGTACATCATTTGGTGGTTTATTTGAAAGGTTTTAGTATAATGGATTTTATTTTATACAAATTACAAAAGAAGTTAGACTCTTTCAACTTGTTGTATTTGGAAATGGAACAAAAGTGAAAAAAATGAGAGATATAGTTGTTAGGTAGAAAAGATGTGCATTGCAACAAATTCATGAATGACATCCTATATATTTGCTACTCCATTAAATTGTTCTTTTTTCCATGCAAAGAATATAGATGGCATGACCAAATAAGATAGACATATGAATGCTAATGAAGATGGAAGTGAAACTACATAAATTATACATATTACTCAAAAAGAATTTAATTCATATCAACTATTTTGGTCATAGAACAAATACTTTAGCATCTTACAAAATAAAAAGCTATTAGAAGAATTTATTGTGGATACTTGGGTAGTAATAAAATAAAATTAATTGAAATACTTGAGCATGAATCAAAATAGGTTACATGCAAATATATATCAAGAACTTGCAAATATTTATTCCAATGTCCAAAATAAAGAAGTTGATGTGTAAAATCCAGAGTAAAAGATAATTCTTTTGTCATCTCATAATAGAAGTATGAAAAACCTATTTGAGATCTTTTTAAGATTCCATAGCCATTATTCAATAATTTTAATATTCAAAAATATTTAAAACAAAGGTTGCAAATCCTTGATGGTTAGAAATTTTATGTTCACTCCTTCTAAGATAAAGGCCTAAGGATTGTCTTGACTTTGTAACAAGAGTATTTGAAATCAATCATTATGCACTAATTGAGGATGTTTTTGAACATCAAATTTTAGCATATGTGCTTACAAGAATGCACACTATTAAGTTTCAAAAGCAAGGTCTTTTGAACATGCACTTCTTACTTTGTTTTGAATAAAACAACAAAGTAAAAGATTTGGCTAATGTTGATAGCATTTTTTGTATAAAGTTTTACGTCAATTATATATATATTGAACAATTTATATTTGTATAGTTCATGATCCATGTAGACCTCAAAATATATAAGTTTCATGCATAGGTAAATAGATGGAATATGTCAAATGAGATATCTAAAAGAATATGGAGATATAACATCAATAGTTGGTAATAGCTATTCTCAATATCATAGAAAGAATGATGGAAGAACTTTTAATGTTGGCAATCTTCTTGTAGACAATGAAGATATTGTTCTATACAATCTTATATTTAGCAAAAATATAATTGCTATATCACTTTAATGTTTGTATTTTAATTTTTGTTATGAAATATATTTTTAAATGCATATATAAAAAACATAATTATACAACTATATGAATTAGAAATGAAGAAGATGAGTTCAAGCAATATATTGATGTACAATATATTAGAGCTTCAAAGATAGCATAATAGTTGTTTGAAATGAAAATGTATGAAGAAGTTTAAATATGATTTAATTGACATTCCATCTTTTCATAATGTATTAAATAATTTTTGATGCAAATGATGATAGAACTAAAGTCTTAGTTTGTAGAATGCAACAAAGAAAAATTTTGATTGTATTTTTTGAAATATGTGAGTATATAGATATTGCTTGATAATAAATATATCAAGAGTTTTAACAACATTTTGTATAGAATAGGACCTCAAAGAAGTAGAAAATAAGACAACATATATTTGCAACTAAAAGGCTATATTTTGCTAATTTTATTATGAATAAAAGATTTTGTCTTTATCTTCTTTTGATAATGGTATATAAGCTATATTCATTCAAGATTTGTGGTTCATAAATAAAGTTCTTCAATTGAATTTTAAGAGTGCATGCTTAGAAATGGAATTATTAGATGCTAATAAAGAATGGAATCAATGCTAGAAGAAAGCTTTTGTAATAAAAACAAGAAAATAGTTAAGAACATTGTTAGTTATTCTTCTTCATTAATATTCACTTGCATATCTAAAAGACCTATGTAATAGATTTAAAGTTTTTTTTTTTTTTGTGATGATGAAA